TATATATACATATACATACGTATGCTGAAGTATATATATACTTTCATACGGTAAACAATATATTTCTTTCTCTGGTATTTTCCTATTGTGAGGTGACTTCCTCTATGTAGTATGTTCTGTGTACCACCCGCTGGTATGGTCGGTTCATATTTCGTTGCTGAACACACTTGAATTCCTTCTACAGCAACAAGTCACTCTGGAGATATCTCATCTCTTCGGATTAATTCGGACCGATGAGTTGTCTTCTTGCCAATGGGAATCGAAGCAGAAGCTTGTCAAGGCGCCACGACTCACAGTTGTACTGGAGAGATGTGAGAATGTATGTACATGTGTGTGTTTATTGATGTAATGTAGGTGTGTAATATCATGTGTATGCAACAAATGTACTGGAGAGTTGTGAGAATGCATTTCCGCGTGTCTGCTGTGTACGTGTGCGTATGCCTGCAGTGCGTGCTTCTGTTAATATACACACACGTGTTTGCAAGTGATATGTGCACAGTTTCTGTGCCCATCTACATGCATGTGAGCGTATGCATCTTGTGTGTAAAGGGGTGTGTCAGAGTAGAAGTGTGTGTTAGCTGCACACACGTGGGTGTGGTGTGTGTATGTGATTGCGTGCGTGCGTGCGTGCGGGCGTTTGTTTGTTTGTGATCATTGTCTACGGAACTTACATCACACTTCATACGCATGCAACGTGTTTTAACTGACATCATACTTCTTACGCATGTAACGTAGTTCAACTGACATCATACTCATTACGCGTGGTGTTCCTATCCGGTGGGGGTGCTGTATATAGTAAAACCCTCAAGTGCGAAAAGCCTACGCGCGCCTTCTCTCTGCTTAATCGATTCGCTCAAGCGTAATATTCCCGCAAACACTCCACTCATCCTCAATCTATGATCGCCTTCACAACTGCACATGTCTATGATATCTCTCACAACTCCAACTCCACCCTAAAACCCTAACCCTAAACCCTAAACCCTAAACTACAATCCTCCTCCTTAGTGTCATACACACTCACACACTCACCCCATACCTACCTACACCCGCTCGCCGTGTACTCACCATCCCGTGGCATTGCCTTTAGCTGACGCAACTAGTGTGCAAGGAGATTCTATCATGCGATAGTCTGCCTGTGCGGCTGGGGATGATCTCGTTTTGGCTCAATGTGACGACCAATCTGCTGCAAATGGGCAACTTGCCTGCAGGCATGGCCACATTCGCCGCCCTCAAGAGCCCGGCCGTGAGCAGACTAAGGCAGACATGGCGGGTATATATATATATATATATATATAGTGTGTGTGTGTTGTTGTGTGTTGTTATATGCATGTATA